GTGGGCCCCCACCGTCCGTTCCACAGCCTTGGAAATAAACGGAGTCACTTGCCCCAAGTCTCATGATGTTTAAAATCCTACCTGTTTTATACCAAAGCTGGGCGCTGGTCCATCTTGGTATTACTACCTCAGTAGAAGTCCTGCAATCGACCCTTTGTTTACATGCATTTTCTCCAGATTACTAAACGAACTGAATTTTCATTCAATCTGCTTTCGTTTTCCAGAACAGTGTTTGTATTTCAAAGGGATAGATTTCTATACATATATTAAATTTAATATTGGAGGAGCAGTAATAGCCAGTGTGATCAGAACCTCCCGGAGAGACTGTAGGCTCTGACATGTGACATTATGTAAGCTGAGGCTGCCGGCCTAAGGACAGAATTAAAACAGCCTCCTGATGCCTGAGTCTTGCCCTGGAACTGACTGTGGAGACCGTTCTTATTGCCTGGTGTCCGGGTTGAAATCTGCACCTTCAGGTTACAGTGCGCGGCACACAGGAAACCTAAGACGATGAAGACCTGACCAGAATTTGCAGAGATGCAAAGGGCAACACATTCCTGGCCAGCGTGGCTCAGTGGTTGGGTGTCAACCTATGAACCAGGAGGTCAGGGTTCGATTCCTGGTCAGGGCACATGCCTGGGTTGCGGGCTCGATCCCCAGTGTGGGTGTGCAGGAGGCAGCCGGTCCATGATTCTCATCATTGATGCTTCTATCTCTCCTTCTCCCTTCCTCTCTGAAAGCAATCTCTATATATAAAAGCCTAAGCGGCTGTTATGCCCGAACAACCGGTTGCAATGACGCACACTGAACACCAGGGGGCAGACGCTCAATGCAGGAGCTGCCCCCTGGTGGTCAGTGTGCTCCCACAGCCAACCTCCCACCCCCATTGACCCCAATTGGGACTGGGCGAAACGGCCCCCATTGACCCAGATCGCTGGCCAGGCCGAGGGACCCCACCTGTGCATGAATTCGTGCCCTGGGCATCTAGTAAAAATACATTAAAAAAAAAAGTGCAACACGTGATAAAATCAAGCCTGAGAAACGACATGACTAAGACAGGTGCTCACACATGATGGGAGAAACAAATACAAATGTAGTGGCATGATTTTTCAGTCATTAGCTCAGATGTGAAAAAATAAAACTTTTTTCCCTTTTTATCTCCTTTAATCATCACCCAAGGATATGTTTTAAGAGAGGAAGAGAGAGAAAGAGAGAGAGAGAGAGAGAGCACGTGAGAAACACCCAAGTGAGAGAAACATCGATCGGTTGCCTCCTGCACGCACCCTGACCAGGGCCCGGGCGGGGAGGAGCCCGCAGCGAGGAACCGGGACCCTTTGTCCAACGCCCTGTCCGCGGAGCCGCACCGGCCAGGGCTACTGTTCTTTCCAAACGGGTCCTCTGGTCCAGGGGCGGCCATTCCTCTGTGACCTTCCCACACACCCTGCTGTGGCCTGGGTCCCTGTGGCACTCACCCGGTTCGCAGGGCGGGGAGAGTGTGGGATGTGGAGCCACGTAAGGAGGGACGAGGAGGAGGGTGAGGAGACGCCTCACCTGCAGCTCCTCCTCAAGGAAGGCCGTCGGAGAGGCGGCCATGGGGTTTGGGAATGAGGAGCCACTGGTGTCCTCGTAGGAGCAGGTGGGGTGGACTGGTGCGGGCAAACCGCTGTCTCTAAAATATATGTATTTGCATTGACTTCAAAGAGGGAGGAAAGGAGAGGGGGAGAGAGAAACATCCACGATGAGAGAGAATCATGGATCGGGCCCTCCCGCACGTCCCCTACTGGGGATGGAGCCTGCTACGCAGGCCTGTGTCCTGAACGGAACCTAACGGTGACCCGGTGCCTAGGTGGATGCTCACCACTGAGCCACACGGGCCAGCACTCCCAGGGGTCAGCAGCAGTGGGAGCAGAGAGGGGGCAGTGGCGGCAGCAGAAGCAACATCTCCGAAGGCAGAAGGCGGGGCACTTGGTGCGGGGGATGACCCACCCGTCCAGGACTGGGGAGGCGGGAGGTGGGGGTGCGCTGTAACCACCAGCACCTGCAGAGGGCAGGAAAG